TGCTATCGATTGATTCAAATGTCATAGATTGACGTTACGAATTGGCTTATAATATTGCATAGTCCCGACTCGAAGATGTAACAGCGATTGGTTCTTCGCAGTTATTTTTTGTATTTTTTTTTTTTTATTATTATTATTTCTTGGCATGTTTTCTTTTTTCTTTACGGCGGCAGATTTAAAAAAAGAATTTCTGCTCGCAAATGAAATTGTTTCCTGTTAAAAGCAAAAAAATAAAAGAAAGAGAAAATAACTACTAAAAAATATGCGAGACTCAGAGGCCAGACACGAGACACGTTTACCTGGGTGCGCGGCACCTGCCGTCGCAACGATTGATGAAATTAAAAGGTATAAATAAAAATCTTTTTAATGGTCTGGGGATTTGGAACTTAATTTTTTAATTAAACAAGCAGCAGTAGCAGAAGCAGCAGCACGGGGACAAACGTTGATAACTGAGCTGTGGTTGAAGCAGCTCAGTGAGAGAGAGAGAGAGAGAGAGAGAGGGAATTGAGCCTGAGATACGAGCTGCAGCCGTAGGCCATCCGCACTGGGACATTTATGCAAAGCAGCCACCGAGTTGGCTTTCGTGGACCTCAGAGCCTCTTGTGTGGTCCAAGCACTGCACGGTCTGCTGGCAAGGGCCAACAGACAGAGGCACCAGGCAGGGCCACAGTCTGAGTTGGCAAGAGAGAGCCTGTTGGCTGTTGCCTGTTGGCCGGTCTTAGCTGTGTGTGTTCCCTGGGCTAAGGCAAACGAGACGCACATATTTCGCTCAGCCCTTTTACTATGGCTTTACTATGCTCCCCGCCCACAATTATATGCTATCGCCCGACTTCTGCGACAATGTCAAATGTCAGCACATGTCATTTGTCTTCTGGTCGCAGGCCTTGGTGGTGGTCACTCGGGCTATGACTCCTTTCGGTTTGTCGCCTAACCAACATTTGTCACTAGCCCGGCTCGCTGAGGTCCACCTATGTGTGCACTTGCTGTGCAGCTATAGAATTGTCTGTATAATATGACCAGAGCCATGCGTCTTTCGGGGATCCCAATGCTGGCAGAGGAAATGATGATATCTACTCCAACAGTCTTTTATAATAGGACTGCAAAGTGGAAGTTGCTGCATGCTACATGCAATAAGTCATTAGGTTATCAGGCTTAGCTTATATATAAAGCAAATATCTTTGAGTATAATCGAAAAATGGATTTTGTTTTTTCAGCCTCGTTTGAACACTATTAGGCGTGGAAACATACATATGATGAATACAAACATTTTGTAATTTACAGATTTTGGATACCACGCTTCCTTCGCCCCAAATTTGTAAAAAAACGCATTTCAAATACTAAAGACTTGTGCTTTGGAATGTACATACATTGAACATTAGGAATTACGTTAAATTATTCAACAAATAAATTCTCATGATATTGCCCACACTGCAGTGCACTGCAGCGCAGCCCAAGCGCAGTCGCTGCTTACTGCGCAGTTAGCAGAGCGCGTT